ATCGTGTACCCTGTCTTTGAACACCACATCTACTTCTGCCCACTCTGTTCTTCCTTCCTACTCACCTTCAACCTTCCTCTGCCTTTTTGTCTCTCTCCTCTTTACTTACCTTGGTGCAAAAGAGGGAGCAAACATCCTGGTTGCCACCTCCAGCTGGAGTTGCACCTCTTCTCATCCATGATGACAACTAACATGATTATCAGTGTCACTGTTGTTAATGTAGCCATTGAGTGGCCGCATTCACTAATGATCCAATACAGCTTGCAGGGGACAGGAGAGTTTCAAGGAGAGCCTTTCAAGATGCCTGCAGGTTCAGGAGGTTCAAATCATCACTGCTTTCTCTCTATTTACTGTCACACATTTTCTCTTCTAGCATACGGAAGGCTAGAAATGCACTGCTATTCTGCCCACCCTTTCAGACAAGGCAAGAAATTTCCTGCTTTCCCTTGCTCTAATCCTGCAGAGCCTTCACGGCAACTGTTATTAACTACTCTGTTATGAGATTAAATAATTACTGGGGACAAAACATCTTTAAGTATTTCTGGCAAACAACATTCGCTATTGTTTCACTCTACTCTCCTTTTTCAAGTTGAGAGATGCTAAAAATAAAACCCACTTCCTTCTGCTAACAGTATTGCGAGAGAAAAGGCTAAGGAAGAAGAAAAAAAAAAAGCTTTTGCTGAAAATTCCTGACAGAATAAATGACTTATTCATTCAGTTCACCAGCTGACACTCCCAAAGCAGGCTTCAACTGTGTTTGAGGACTGCACTCACATCATCATCGTTATCCCAGAATCACTTCCTTCAACTCTTTCCAGGTTCCTTCTTTTTCTGTCTTCTCTCTTGCATCATTTTTACTTACCCTTCCCCATCACATGGGACTGGTCTACACTAAGAGTAGCAACGAGCCGTTTCCCAGCCTGATCCACTTTGCTGAACTTTGAAAGTAACTTGCAACAGTCCCAATCAAATGGATCTCTCCTAGTTCACCTCATTTTAAAAACAGTTTTTGCTGAATAAGGCAGGAGCAAGTAGCTCAGGAACAATACTAAAGATGATCAAAACTACCCGAGATACAATAAATAAGAACAAACCTAAACTCCACGTAGAACAAGTGACTCTTCAAATAAATCTGTTCAACTGTCACAGCGTATTGCCCATCAGAAAATTCCTAGACCACTGAAGATACGGAGAGCCTGCTGATGAAAGGAGGTGCTGATGGGAGTTAGAGTCAGTGGCAGCAGATATAGTACCTAGGCTGCAGTGTCTGATGTCCCATGAACTTTGTTTTACTTCATCTTCAGGACAGTCACCTGGAGGAGAGGTATATGAAAGGAAGGCGGTGAACAAAATCCTATTGCTAGTCTAGAAGAAAGCCATCCTCTTAGGGGCAGCAATCAGTGAAGCTCCTGGAGGAGAAGTGGAAACCTTCCTGTATCTCTCACGGCATTACAGTTCAGGCAGCTGAAGAATCAGTTCCGTGCAAATGCCATTCCATATTTCTTGTAAGATCGGTATTGCAGAATTATGATGAAACCACAAAAGTTGTTGTATTGTGATTTTTTACATGTTTTTAAAACCTGCTGTGACCTGCTTTCTGGCCAATCCCTCCAATATTTATCCTCCTTCAGAATGCTACTTCTTTCATTGCTTCTATTAGGACTGAAGCTGCAAGATGACCCCAGGTAAGATGACCCCAGGTAGGATGACCAGTATTCCTCACTGGTTTTGCACATGGCAGTATGGCTATCCTAAGTAGTATAGCTAGTGTTTCTAATGGTTGTCACAGCCACTGACACCAGGCTGCTGTTAAGAAAGATTGCCAAATATTGCATTTTATGGTTTGAAAACTGGATGAAAAACTTTAAAAGAAGACAGAAATGCAAGGAGCAGGAGACAGATTTACAAAGGTGCCAGGGAAGGGATAATTTGGAAAGAAACCAAGACAAGACGGTGAGAAGGAAAGGAGGGAATACATGGGGAAGGGAGACAAATGTACCGGGCAGGAAACCAAGAGAAGGAAGAAGGTGAAGGAGGAAGCAAACAGAATGGTCAAGAAAGGGACAACAAGGGAAGGGCAGAAAAAAAAAGAGAAAACAAAATAGTGATGAAGGAGCCAGCGGAGGAGGGGGAAAAGCAGAGCTCCTTTGTAAGAGATAAGGGAAAATAAAGGGAGTCTCCTGCTCAAAGCAACCAGCAGCAAAAGGAGCATATTACTGGGTGTGCATTACAACAAGAAATGTAAATTAGACTGGTAACAAATTACACAGGGGTGTCTTCCCCGAGAGCAGAAATCACAGAAAGAATAACTGATATTCTCATAAGTCTCGTGATTTTGGGGTCCTTGGACAGGCAGAATTGGAAACATACTGACTACGGAAGAGCAGTATCCCCTCCTGTGATGGGCTCTGGCTAGGCATCATCTGTGTAGCTGTATATTCTTTTGATCACAGACATGCAATGCAGAATTAAATTAGTTATTCTTTGGTTTTCTTTTTCCCCTTAAATT